GTTTCTAAATAGAAATTTCATCTAAACAAACGTTGATATTAAAATTAATATATAATAATAAATTCCTTACACATATTACATTTTTTTTTTATGAAGCGTATATGACACATTTTGAATCCACACAGTGAATAATATATTTTAACCAGAAACTAATTAATTATTAAAATACTTGAAGAATTTTTTTTGCAATAAATTATTTTTTAATAAAACTCTCTTCTGGAGCTTGAAAATCACGTATTAGAGCGTTGATACCAACTAAAAATAGTTACTACCTAAATATGAGTTATAATTTGTCACATTACACCCATTGTTAAAAAAGCACACACTGTTTGTCATAAATTATATTCTTAATGTTGTCATTACGTGTCGTGAACATCGGTTGGGAAGACTTTCTTCTGTTTTACTGTGATTATTATAATATTATCACACATCATTCTGACATGCAGCTCACATGTGGAAAGAGGGCTAGGACAATGAAACTTCTGATAGGAAGAGTCCACCCCATCAAATCGGTGAACAAATTTAATGGTTGTGCGAGACGACCAGAAATTCTATTGGGCAACCAAATGTTATAAAGTTTAGTGACTGAAGTTGTCCTCGGGACAACCAAATTATTTCTGACTTCATACTTCCTTGCACGAGTATTTCAGCGTTGAACCAGGGAGATGCAACGGAACGCAAACAATGCGAGAATATTATCAACGAAATGATAATTCCCGTTTTATTTTCACGTTTGTACTGAATGGCTTTGCTGGCTCAGTTCAACTTTCGAACATACACGCACAATGGTTTTCATCCCTGAGGCACACCTGCACGCCACGAGTCCATACTGACACAGAAAATTCCAGAAACACTATCTCTAACTGCACACACTGTACTACAAGGCTCAATTCACAATCTGCTCTCCAAGAAATACGTGTAATAATGCGTGATTCGTGAAACTCCCTCAAACATGTGCAAACCATGAAAGAAATCTCCACATTAATAACACCTCTATTCAAAATGCAACGTTCCATGTGTGATAGTTCAACCAATCGCAATTGACGATTGTTCCGCTTACTTCTGAGGTGGAAGTTGACGATTCCGTTGGAGGGGAGAAAAATTATCAATGTATTTCCAAAGACATTGATACGGATGCTGAGAATAAATGTCTCTGGTATTGATATAAAACAAACATGTGGTCTGTTTTGACGCACAGAAAATTTAGTTTGTTTTGGTGTCTCGTTCACTGTGTTCAGTAGGCGTAATGTACCCATGTTAGTGTATTGCTTACGATAGTAGGGTAGTAAATTCAACGAACACTCGGTACACAACATTAAACAAGTTATTACGTTACTTTCACTGTAGTTTTTTTTAGGACTTCCGGTAGTGATTCCGCTACCTATCCCGCCATTTTACCTGAACTGGCTTGTTTGTGGTAATTATTCAAATTGTCAAAATAAAATAGAACATTTGTATCAATTTTTTTGTATGTACGTGTTTTTTGTTTTTTTTGTTTTTTTGTTGTTAGTTTGCTATGGTTGTTGTTTTTTCTTCACGAAATGTTGATGAGTGTTTTACGGTACTTCCGAGATGTAGACCCAAGTTGTTTAATGAGGCATGAGTGAATACACAACGTTGTGTCAACGATGTCACGGTATTGGCCTTAATAAAGTACCTGATGTCGATCAGACATTTGATATAACCTTGTTAATCATGTGTCTTTTTTTTTTCTAGTGCATGTATCCTTACATTAGTGTGAGCGATTGTTTTTTGTTTGTTTGTTTTGTTTTTTCTTATAAAAGAATCTTTTTTTTTTCCTTATATGCAAGACAATCAACGCCTGGTTAATGGTTGTCCTTCGGAAATGTCATTATGTCTTTAATTTGATCTGTGCAAAGCGTTACACATTTCTTGGTGATTTGGAGTAATCTCCTCTGGGATCATAAAGCCCCAAAGAATAACAATAAAAAATACGGTCAGATTTAGAAAATAAACAATAAAATATATTATTATAAATGCTAAGAAGTGGGTTAACTTGCATTTTAATATCGTGCATCTTCTCCTCGACGTTTGATTTATAAAATTACCTTTTTTCGAAACTTAAGTATAAGTTGGAATAGGTGAGGGAGATATATTGCTGTAATATTCTTAACCCTTTTTGTTACACCACAGATAAGAACAACTTACAGGCACTGACGGTTTGTTTGTTTCAGGCTACCCTGAATGTATAATTCTGATGTTTTCAGAACACAGTTCAATATCAGGAGAGATTCTCTTTGTGTAGTGTTTTTGAGTCCTTTACTTCAAAATCACAAGAGGTTTTCTCTGTCATATATACTTAGCTGTAACTCTATCTGGTAATAATACTGGTAGCCCTTTTTAAGGTGAAATACACCTGTCTCTCATCTGGGGTCAAGGAAAAGGTTCTACCCTCAATCAATTCACCAAAGTGTTTTGCTGAAGACAAAAAGAACCTTTAATCTTAATAATCCTTTCTCTACAACAGCTGCACTTGATCAGTTAATATGGAGATGCACCAAGATAAGGCAAAAGATAGTTGAGAAAGAAGATAAAATCCAATACTTTAATATATAACTGAGCCTTATTAGTATGAATTTGATAAGCCTTTCTTGCATTTTTTCATGTTCACATCACCATCTGAGAAACCAAAACAAAGCAAGGCATGTAACAAAAACTGTTTATGGTATGTCCGATAACAAACTGTTTACAAACAAATATTTTATTGTGTACAAAACCTTGCATTAGTGGTAGTTTGAAATTACTAAGTGCATCATTCAAATAGTTATATACTGATGCACAATTTTTTATTAATGTACAAAAAGAAAAAGAGTGACAAGATGATCTTCTTCAAATATTATATAGTGGCATGCATATCCCTACAAAATCCTGATTTCAACCATCACCAACTTTACTTTCACAGAATGGCATTTTATTACATTTCATTTTATTTAGTTCTTGGTTTCTGAAACAGAAAACAAATCACTCTTAATTTTACACAGTGTAATTAGCAAGTTTCACTAACAAAAAACATGTTTGAAAATTACTATACAGTGGTGTAAATATATTTGTATAAAATTTAACCTGGTTTCTTTGATTGAAAATCTGTAATTCTCTGGGTAGCAGATTGATTTGATCAGGGATTTTGAGGAATTTCTGAGACAGTTTTGATGGCAGCCTTCAGCTCTAAAGCAGTAATTCTACTAATCCTATGTTAAAACCAGACTTCGCTGTTCTTCTGCATCTGTTGTCTTCATCACAACCATACATCTCTTTGAACTTTGCTCTTCTCCACTCATATTCTGTAAATAGATTATTTTTTTAAGAGTGGATGAGAATAAAAATGTACCTGATATCTTTAGTTGACGTTGAAAAAACTAAATTTCACAGGGTGTGGAAGGTGTATTAACAATGAATTTGGTAGGAATGTACATATGTCTCCTTGTTCATTCATACCACTGGAGAAAAAGCATGCAAAAGTTCCATTGACAGTCGTTGATAATTAGAACTGTCAACAGCAAAAAGTGTTGCAGCAAGTCCTGCCATATAGTCACAGTAGGTAATTGGAATTACCCCATCTTTCAACATCAAAACGTGTTGCAGCAACATGTGAACAAGTCTTCCCAAGTCCTGCCATATAGTCACAGTGGGTGATTGGAATTACCCCATCTTTCAACATCAAAACGTGTTGCAGCAACATGTGAACAAGTCTTCCCAAGTCCTGCC